AGAATAATAACCATGTGGTGTCAAGTCAATTCCAACGTATGGCAATCCTCTCAGGATTTTCCAGGTACAAAGAAATAATCTAACACGCCCTGCTTCTGGTGGTGCCCCAGGGCCTTGCAGCTTCCCCAAGGCCACAGAGGTGGCAGGGCACACACTTACTGCACCAGCCACACACAGCTTCAGGTGATCTGGCTCACCCCTTCCCCAGCAAGCACAGTGGGGGAGATGGATCCCTATACAATCAGGCCTGTCCAAATCCTTAGAGGGATGCTGACAGTCGAAGAAGACAGAGATTAGCCAAGATGGACCAGGGGTACTAAAGAGCCCGAAGTGGCCCTACAGGTCAAGTCTAATCCACCTCTCACTTTACACTGGAAATGAATATTGATGCATTCGAATTAATACTAACTGGCGACAGCCGTACATTGGTACCTTGTAACAATAATCATGCGCCTTCAAGTCAATTCTGACTTATCCTGGCTCTTTTCAGGGTTTCCCAGGTAGAGAATACTCCGTAGTTCACCGTTCCCTTCTTCTGCGGGGCATCCTGGGACTGTGCAGCTTGCACAAGACTGCAGAGACCGGCTCTACTCACAGTGATTCAACTCCAAACCTCTGACTCTGCAGTCAGATGCCTAAATGGCTCTACTCACAGGAAGGCACAGTGATTCAACTCCAAACCTCTGGCTCTGCAGTCAGATACCTAAACCACTGAGCTATCTAGCCAGCTATTCGCTATCTTAACGAAGATCAACTTGATCTAGGGCACGTGAACACATTTTTAAAATCATATCCTAAACATAACTCAAGCAACTGGCTATTATTCTTTCCTCTAGCTGCGTTTACATTATAGGTGTGTATTTCCTTGCTCCACCCTTACATGTAACGATGATTGAGAATGCTTAGAATACACCTTGCAAAGACATTTAACGCAATGCCGACTCAATAACGATCAGCACAGAAGCGACATCAGAGTCTCCAATAGCATTGCTTCCAACACTAATTTCAAAGATAGGGGAAGTAGAAATGCCCAACCTTTGGTTCCATTGGGGAATATGGCAGCGCTGACAGCTATGTGACCTTTCAGCACATATGTGAAACATTCCTGCAGAGAATGGAATATTATGAATGAAACAGAGCAATGATGGGAATATCTAACTAGAAATTACTTGCAGACTTTAGTGTATCCACATGAATTTCTGGGCTGGGATCAACCAATATACAGTGGTGCCCCGCATAGTGATGTTAATCTGTTCCGGATTAATCATCGCTATCTGGAAACATCGCTAAACGGAACTAAAAACCCCATAGGAACGCATTAAACTTTGTTTAATGCGTTCCTATGGGGCGAAAACTCACTGTTCAGCGAAGATCCTCCATAGCGCCGCCATTTTCGCTGCCTCGGTAAGTGAGGAAACTGCGCAAAAATGCTTGCGGCGGCCATTTTGGGCACCCGGCAGCCATTTTGGAACCGCCGATCAGATGTTCTAAAAACATCACGATGCAAAGATCGGTAAGCGAAACGCTTACCGATCATTGCAATGCGATGTTTTCCCATTCAAAACATCGCAATGCGATCACATTAGCGATTGCAAAAAATAGATCGCTATGCGGATTCGTCGTTAAACGGTGCGCTCGTTATGCGAGGCACCACTATAGTTGCAATGGTAGCTCACTCTGATGAGTGAATCAGCACATCTCCCGACATTGCTTAGAAGACAATAAAGAACAATTTTTCAACACTGAATAATGTTCTGCCAAAAGGGGGAAAGAATCTTGTCAGCAAAGACTGAGTTTTGTTTTAAAGTACTATTTTTTTCCAAACCAAAAGTACTGTATCATGGACCTTTTTAAAAAATCTTCATTCTTCAGTTACATGTTTTGCCCTCAACTCCAGAGAGGTTCGAGCCAAATCAATTATCACAAGAACACTAGAAAGTTTTAAAATTAGGTGTCCATTGCATTGAAAGGGCAATTATGACTAAGCAGATCAAAAATTAAGAGGAAATTGCATGGTGATGTTGTCAGAAATAATCCAGACACAAACTATGTTCTATGGTGTCTTGGAATAATATACATTAAAAAAAAGGTATGCCCTAACAGGCACCGAAACACCAAGGATCTCCTGACTCTGCTGTAGCATGATTACCTGCGGGTGATCATGCTGCAGCAGAACCAGGAGATCCTTGGTATTTCACTGCCTGATAGGGCATATCTTTTTAAAATGTGTATTATTCACAGAAATGCAGTTATGGGCTGATACAAAAGTACTGACATAGCTTCATGGAAGTCCCATTGCAACTGTGGTTTTCCACATGTTTTGGAAGAAGGCATGCTCAGAAGAAGTAACAACTAAACCTAAATGGGAGTTGCAGTAGGACCTGATAGTGACAAGGTGGACCTTGAAAGCAACCACATTAAACTCTGCTGGATGATCTGTTTGTCACTGTCCTTGAGGTCCTAGAAATTACCTTCCAGAGAAGACTGCCTGCCTAAGGATGCCTATCTGTGACAGAGCTGTACCAACCCCTTAAGAAACTGGCCTTCTTCTCCCCTTGAAGCTGGCAGTGAGTGGGTGGTTCTTGCTATTCAGGAATGGTTTTCCTTTCAGTGATTTTAAGGGGAGCCTAGACGTACCTGATCACCATAAAACCCATTATATTATGGAGAGAGATAGATTCAATAACAAAAACAGAATTCTTGCATACCTTTTCATATGCTGATGGAGTGCCAAAGTGCATTGTCCTTGTCACATCTGTGGTTCCATCCCTTCCAAGAAAAAAAGAGAAAACTAAATACATAAACAAAAAGAGAAGACAGAAACATTAAAAGAAAAAGAACGCATTTCAAGGTATTAAAAATAGAATTATGCAAGAAAGATCTACTTTGTAACCTCTTCAAACAGTATTACAGAATAGATTGTGCATTGCTAACAAAACAAAAGTGTGCAATACACTTGCGTCTCACAGACACACTGGAATCTCTGCTCTTTGCTCAACTGCACAGTCTGAAAAAAGGCTGTATCTATTAACCACGTAAGAAACTTTGGGTGCCACAGACTAAAAAGTTGCAGAAATAGTTTTGTGCTAATTCCAAGTCCTGTTTCTTATTATTTTATGTTAGTTATACTGCTCTTATTTTAAATAAATATCTTACCATTACTGGGACTACTGACTTGCATTTTGTATTTTAATATTACTCAGAGGACCTTCCCAATGAACAGTATGACACACGATGAATGGAACAGAACAAAGATCGTTTCAGGCAGAGCTAAGTGGCAAGACAGGGAAGTGGCTGTGGCAGCAATGATAGCTCATAAGTGATATCCAGGCTCGTCGTCATTTAGTCGTGCCCGACTCTTCGTGACCCCATGGACCAGAGCACGCCAGGCCCTCCTATCTTCCACTGCCTCCCAGAGTTGGGTCAGATTCATGTTGGTTGCTTCGATGACACTGTCCAACCATCTCATCCTCTGTCATCCCCTTCTCCTCCTGCCTTCACACTTTCCCCACATCAGGGTCTTTTCCAGGGAGTCTTCTCTTCTCATGAGATGGCCAAAGCATTGGAGCCTCAGCTTCAGGATCTGTCCTTCCAGGATAGAGGCAGCTTAAGCACCAAAGGACATTGCTTTCCCTCACTTCGCAGAAAAGATATCATCTGAACCATGGATTCCCAAGTGGATCCCAGGTAAGATGGGATCACTCTTGTCACAACCCATGTTTTCCAATAATTCTAACCTTGTCCAGAAGCTTTATTTCTTCAAGATTAGAAAAAAATCTGTCTCTGATCCTATCCCAGACTCACCAGTTCCAAGTTAGCTTTCACAGACTGCATGGTCACTGAAGCAAAACTGAGCAGTGCCCTTCAGAGGAAATGAACTCTGTTCTAACCAACTCTGCATCCCCCTGGCTTTCCTGGCATCGGTGTCTGTCCACTTCTCCTGCTCTGTGCTAGCAGAACATTCCAGTCTGGATAGCTGTCTGCAAGCTGTTGCTGTACAGAAGGCTGAGATGCAAAAGATTTGGCAACAATACATGGGGCTGTTCTACGTGACCTTCAAGTGCCTGCTACCTCTGCTGCTGAACAGAATGAAATCTCAGCATGTTGAGCCTCAAGGCTTTGGAACATGATGTTTCAGAAAATATGTATTATTTGGTACTAAGAAGGGTTCCCTAGAGAATGAAAAAAGACAGAATAGATATATTTCCTTATGTTAAAAAAAAACCTGAGCAAACAAATCCCTTCAAATAAGAGGAAAAAATAGTAGCAACATGGATTCTGTACTCAAGCCGTGCAAGGTAAGACTGAAAGAATTGGGCATGTTTAGCCTGGAGAAAAGAAGACTGAGGGGAGATATGATAGCACTTTTCAAATACTTGGAAGGCTGTCATGCAGAGGAAGGATGGGATCTGTTTTCAATCATCCCAGATTGCATGACATATAACAATGGGCTCAAGCTACAGGAAGCCAGTTTTCAGTTGAGTATTAGGAAAAATGTCTTAACTGTTAGAGCAGTACAACAATGGAACCAATTACCTTGGAAGGTGGTAAGTGCTCCAGGCTGCAAGCATTCAAGAGAAAATTGGATAACCATCTGCCACAGCTGCTTTGATTTGGATTCCCTTAGCAAGAGGTAGGGCTCAGTGGCCTTACAGGCCCCTTCCAACTCAATTATTCTATGTGTGGAATTCAGCATTTCAAGAAAGATAGTGGCAAGACTAGCTTGAGAATAAATGGCAAAGCCCAGTGAAGCCTCCCACGTCAGGGTACAGCCAAATACAATTGTATGGACCCACAAAGGCAGGAAGCCTATCAGAATGTCTGCATTAACTATCACCTCAGCCGTGCCACAAAATATTTCAGTCAGTGTGCTAAACAAAACAGTAGCTGGAGGGGAAAGGTTGTGTTGAGTAGGAAATTCTCAAAGTCTTCAAATTGGAGTTCAGGGAGAAATATGCAAACTTACAGAAATATATTATCTACTCAGACGTAAGCCCCACTGAGTTCAAACAAGACAAATTCCCAGGCAAATACACAAAGGATTACAGCCCGGACTTTGCTTTCAGTGGCCAAGGAAAACTTTTTCAGCTCTACAGATCATGATGATTTGAACATCCACCCGAGGTAATTCTCCACACAGGACGTGGGCAAGAAGAGTGGGATAACTTTGCTGCTGGATTACATAAAAAGTCTGTCCTCTCGAATCCAGGCACTCTGCCCTAGCACATGACATTAGAAGCAGCTAAATTAACTTTGCAACCTCAGCCAATTCAGCCCTGCTGCTATCCCCAGAGTCTGGAAAATATCATGGACGGCTAACTCATTATAGTCAAGTGGCTGCTTCCCATTGTGACTCAGAAGGAGGCCATCATTAGGCTGTCTGGGAAGAAAGATCTCATTGTACAAGTCTTATCAAAGAACATTCACATAGCTCCCTTTCAAAGAACAACTGTTGGATAACAGCAGTGCCAGACCTCTAAAGAAATTTGTCCCCTCAGAGGGCAGAACAGGTCTGCTAAACCTTGCCGGACAGAATGCTTTTAATCTGAATGCTGGTGTAGTGGACTGGCTAAGAGACGAGCTGCAAACAATCTCTGCAGATATCTGCAGGATAACTCAATAGGAAGTTGCAGGTGAAACACTTTCTCACAGTCTCTGCTCCATCCATCCCAGCTGCAATATGGGGTTCTTATTGTAGGTGTTTTTAGAATCACCAATAGACAACCTACCTAAAGTGCTCAGAATGAGTGAAAGTGTGATACTTTGCTGTGTATAAGATGTTCCCATGTACAAGACCCCCACACACACTTTTCTAACCAAAAATTAAGAAATCTAAGTGGGGCTTAGCAAGTGGAGAGGGAAAGCAGGAATCAAAGCGCTGCAGGATCACTTTGATCCCTGCTTTCCCCTTTTTTTGCTAAGCTCGCTTTGATCCCTGCTCCTCCTCTCCACTTTCTTGGCAAGAAAATAGAGAGGGAAAGCAGAATCAAAGCTATAAACAAACACACTTTTCTAACCAAAAATTAAGAAATCTAAGTGGGGCTTAGCAAGTGGAGAGGGAAAGCAGGAATCAAAGCGCTGCAGGATCACTTTGATCCCTGCTTTCCCCTTTTTTTGCTAAGCTCGCTTTGATCCCTGCTCCTCCTCTCCACTTTCTTGGCAAGAAAATAGAGAGGGAAAGCAGAATCAAAGCTATAAAAGCATGGATCAAAGCGGTGAGAGCAGAGATCAAAGCTATTGTGCAGCTCTTTGATCCCTTTCCCCTCTCCTTACTTCCATGTATAAGACGACCCTCGATTTTTAGTCTAAAGATTATAGACAAAAGTATTGTCTTACACATGGAAAAAATACGGTAAATGTCAAATAGGACCACCTATAATCTAGTCTTCCCAAGCCTCCGTATATGTTGGACTACAGCCTCCATAATCCCCAATTAGCATGAGCATTGGAGGTTGCAGTTCAACACACAGGAAATCGCCTGATTTGGAAAGGCTAAAAAAGGAACACCACTCATGCTAACACAGTTATAAAAGCCTTGGTCCATCAGCCACAAGGACTGATGAGAATTTTAGAAACCATGAAACCAGTAAAATCCAGGTAAAAGAAACAGGGCCATGTGAGTCACCCATAAGAACAAGGAAAGGGGGTAGGGCAAAAGTTATCAGAACAATTCACTAGACTATTTCTGAAGGGCAACCTCAGGCCACAGCAAACAGACAGAGCAAACAATGATGTCACTCTGCTGGCTTGCCTCTTATGGATTATCATGTGATCTTAGGCCTCCTTATGTGCAAAGGTCCATATAAAATGAGCTTGTCTTGTAATTCAATGTAATTCAATGACCCTGCAGCCTGACATATAACCACAACTTTCTGCATTTGCTGCTTCCGTTAAAGTGTCAACTAACCATCTATGCCATGCAACTACATGAATCTTAGTCACTGAGTCCAACAACCTTGACTGCCAAGAAATCAAAATGTGAAATGTCAACAGTTCAAGGCAAAGTCACTTCTTTCCCCATCCCTCCCAGGAAACATGGGCAGAGAAAGATGACTCATTATTTTCTCCATATTATGGTTTGCTAAAACAAACTGCAGGCTACCTACACGTTTCTCTGTAGCAAGGATAAATGAAAAGTAGGATTTACTGTAGTTCAGAATAGGACTATTGATTTAACGTAAGTACACACTTACTTGTACTGAGCACCAGAATCCAAGAGGTAGATTTCATTTATAGATAAAGTCCTATTTGTCTCAGGAGTAGGCCTAAAAAAGAGATCATTTCAAACTTTAACCTGTTTCACTGAAATCAACAGACATTTTTGCACATTTCCAGTTAAACTATGTAAATAGCTTATGAACTGAGCAGAATTACATTCGCTAAAATATCACATATACCAGATCAAATCAACCACCAAGTTAAATCTGTATCATATATCAAATGGCATCTTTAGATGTGCGCTTCCTACTTCAAAGTACTGAGGTTCTGCATGGCATCCCAGTGTATTACAGAGTTCTATTATCTACGTTAGACAGGCAATGGCTTTTCAAACCCACTGAAGTTGCCCACACCTGATCTACATCCAAGTTAAAAGGCATGCACTGTGTTACCTGCCAGGAATGCTATTCTTCAGACACATGTATATGGTAGAGTTTATTGCAGGTGCCACAGGGAGACTCTTTTATGCACACAGACCTGCTTAGTGATTTCTTTTTTCCTCAGAAAGGGCCATTATATATTTCTGATCTTTCCATACATTGCCACATACATGATTTAGTGGGTAGTCAAGGAGGGAAGTGCACAGGCAGTGTCATTCCTGCACCACAAAAATGTCCCAAATCTGGTGAGCAGGTCCTACTGATACAACCTTGCCCGTTTTTTATTCCCCATGAAGAACTGTGGCACAGGAAGTAGGTCTTTGGCTAACAAGATCCAATGTGTCAACACTTAAGTGAATCTCATTCTAGTTGGCAGCTGAGTGCAAGGACTCTTACTTGTAATGAATGATAGCACCGTTTGGGCCCGTGCTTGAAATGGTAGCAAAGCTCAAGTCAACAAAATCCTCTTGCTGGCTGAAAGAAAAAGAGATTTCATGAACAAGGACTACTAAGACATTGAAAGCGTCACAGAGTCTTTGCAGCAATCTTTTTTTTTTTTAAACCTAGGCCTTGTTGGCCTTTTCTCTCCTATTAGCCTAAGAAGCTAAATTGAAGCTAGAATGGATCTGAAACACAGGCATTGCAACATAATGTCCCAGTCTAACAATGCAAAGCAGCTGAAGCCAGTAAAAGTATTTTCTTTTCCTGAAGCTGTTGAACAAAGATACAACATCACAGGACACACGACCCATTACCAGAAATGATCAAAGTACTGACTTTTCTGATCTCTCTGGATGAACTATTTGAACCACCACTTGTTCACATTGTTTTTAATCAAGCAATCGTATAGAATCAATCTGTTTAAAAACAACAGCTGGAAAGCTGGGGGATGGACCATTCGTGATCACAGAACAGAGTTCTGGACCACTATACAAGACTTCAGTGGCCAGAAGGAGAACAGAATGTAGAAGTGAGCTGGTGTATCTGATCCACTTGTGCATGACCGATTTTCCAACCAAGCACATAAATCTTATCTTGGATACAAAGAAAGTCTGGAAGAGTGGGCTCCTGAAAGAGGTTAAGAAATAGCAAAACACAGCCTTCTTTAAGGTAGGAAAGCAACCAGGCAAAACAAACAAAGAAAAGACAAGGTACAAGACAGAGACAGAGACTAAACTACCTGAATCAGAAGACACAAACCTGTTTTCTGTAGCATCCTGTTTTCCCCCAGGTATGAAAAAACCATAGGAGCAATTATGATTCATAAACTTTCTGCTTCAACCTTTTGTCTTACCTACGGAATTCCTCTGCTTTATCTGCTGCTGTTATTTCAGTAATATTGCCTTTGGGGACCTAAAAGACAGGGTTGAATAAGATTAATACAGTAAAGAATGGCAAAAACACAGCACCATGTAGATTTTCTCAGCTCCACCCCAACCAGGCTTATTTAATGCCCTCACCTGGTTTCTTCCCATTGGGTCACATGGATCGAAGTCAAAAACAGATCCATACCATCTTTTAGGGCAGAATGTTGAGTTATTTGGGGGAAGATTACAACTCGCAGGAAACCCCAGCCATCTTGGCCTGGGTCCATGCTAGCTAGAAGATCCAGGGAGGTACCACACAAGTAATTGGGCCATTAATTTGCATGCATCTTGACATTGGCAAAACCAACAGCCTCTTATCCTTTCTATATTGGCTGAAAGGAAGACAGGAACAAAGACAGAAGGGGAACATCCTTCCAACTCTGCAGTCTTTTGTAGATGACTACCAAGATCCAATGCTGAGCTTCAGAATCCAGTGATGTACTTCCACAGAAAAGCAAATGGCATTAAGTGTTTTTGGATGCTCAAAAAGCATTTGGCAATTTATGATACAGCAACTAAGATATATGGACTTTGGCGAGAACATATATGTAACTGAGACAATCTATAATGAACAAACAGCAAAAGTAGACATAGAAGGGAGATTAAAACAAGACCTCATAGACCAGGGCTTGGGTTCATCGTGGTGGCCTTTAATGTAAACACAATCTAGACATGAAAGGCATTTAAAAATATATGATTTTTATAAAGAACAGACAATGTCTGATTAAATAACGTTGACATCAGATGATAAATTAATTAAGAAAATATAAAGTTTCTTTTAGACTGGAAAATGGAAGATGAACAAGAAACAATGGTTCAATGGGCAAAAATATTTGGATATAACACTGAATTAGAGAAATGGCAAAAGCTGTGGAATAGAAACTGCAAAATGACAATGGCGACATCTTATAAAGAGAATTTATATAAACTGTTTTATAGATGGCACCTACCACCTGCTATATTAGGTAAAATGTTTTCTAATACGTCCAATAAACTTTGGAAATGCAACCAAAAAGCAGATACAGTGGTGCCCCGCACAGCGACGTTATTAATCTGTTCCGGATTAATCGTCGCTATCCGGAAACATCGCTAAACAGAACTAAAAACCTCTAAAAGCCCCTATGGGGCAAAAACTCACTGTTCAGCGAAGATCCTACATAGCGCCGCCATTTTCGCTGCCTCGGTAAGCGAGGAAAGCATGCGAAAATGCTTGCGGAGGCCATTTTGGGCACCCGGCGACCATTTTGGAACCGCCGATCAGCTGTTCTAAAAACATCACAATGTGAAGATCGGTAAGCGAAACGCTTACCGATCATCACAATGCGGTGTTTTCCCATTCAAAACATCGCAATGCGATCGCATTAGCGATTGCAAAAAATAGATCGCTATGCGGATTCGTCGTTAAACGGTGCACTCGTTATGCGAGGCACCACTGTACTTATTATCATGTGTGGTGGACTTGTGATAAAGCTAAAAACTTTTGGATTAAAATATATACATGGCTTGTTAAAATGCTAAAAAATAGACTTTAAACCAGAACTGTTTCTATTAGGTATAATACCAGAAAATGTTGATAAACAAAATGTGTATTTAACATTGCATTTTTTGACAGGAGTTAGGAATGTTCTGGCACAACATTGGAAAAATGAAGCAATAACTACAGATGAAGAAATAATTAAGAAGATCTTGAATTGTGCGGAAATTGACAGACTTACATTGAAAATTAAAGAGAAGGAAGATTCAGAATATTTTCAAACATGGAATCTGTTCTATCAATGGCTAGAAACGTGATGTAGAGATTAGGCCCTAATCTGTAGCAACAAATGAATATAAACTGAACCCATGTATCACAATGTTTAATAAGCATGGATTGATTTTATTAATAGGAAAAAACAACAACTAATAAAATGTTTTTGAAAAAAAAAGAATCCAGTGATGTACTTCCATACTCATTTACTTTCATTCCTTTCGTGTTGCAGCCCTTTGTCATACCAAAAAGCTACTCAGAAGGATCTCCCAGCCCTTTCTAGGAAGGGATGGAGAGTTACAAGACAGAGAAAGGATCACCAGTTCTAGAAGAAGCAGTAGAATACAACAGGAGGGTATTCTGTTGGATCCTGATCCACATCTTGAGAAAAAAAATGTATTGATTGATTGATTGATTGATTTGATTTGATTTGATTTGATTTGATTTCTATCCCACCCATCTAGACCAAAGGTCTACTCTGGATCATCATAAGTTGTCATAAAGTGACATTTTCTCCTTAATTATCGCATACATTTGTCTTTCCCAGCCAACAGTAAATTAACCATGGAGCATACAGTGTTACTTTATAACACCTTTGGTTACAACTCACTTGCATCAAGTCGTGGCATAAGGACAACCACGACTGGCAAATGAAAAATATGACATCACAGTAGTCATCTCCCAAAGATTGGAGATGTACTGACACTACATCTGAACTGAATTAAACTATGGTTTAGTATCATGTAAATAAACTTAGTCAAGCCTCAGATTCATGTGCTTCCTCTTCACCTCTCTTCTTTAGATGCACTTGAGAGGAGGAAAGCACATGTTTTCCCTTCCATTTTGACATGGCTATGTTTCAATATTACAGTGGTGCCCCGCTTGACGATTAAATCGCTTAACAATGAAGTTTTTGCGACCGCTTTTACAATCGCAAAACAATGTTTTAAATGGGAAAAATCACTTCATGATGATCGGTTCCGTGCTTCGAGAACCGATTTTTCACTTTATGACAATCAGAAAACAGCTGATTGTCGGGTTTCAAAATGGCTGCCCGCTGTTTAAAATGGCTCCCTGCTATGCTTAGGATGGATTCCTCGCATTACAGGCACCAGAAAATGGCCGCCCTATGAAGGATCATTGCTGGACGCAGAGATATTTCGCCCATTGGAACGCATTGAGCGGTTTTCAATGCGTTTCAATGGGCTTTTTCATTTTGCTTGACGAGGATTTCGCTTAACAGCGATTTGAACAGAACGGATTATCCTCATCAAGTGAGGCACCACTGTATAGCTGAACCCTAAACTGCTATTAATACTAATGACATTTAATTGAAACAAATATGATTTACACATGGAAGTTTGAAGTTGGACAGCTTCAGTAAAGGTTCTGATCATCTTCTCCTAGCTATATTGTTAAGGAAGTTAGGAGGAGGTGATCAGAATCTATCCCCTTTAGTCTTAAATAGCTGTAGTTTTAGTATTATATCTGGACCAGTCAAACTGTAGTTGGTCTTAACTATAGTTTACTGAAGCGTGAGATTCAAACAGGCTTGTTCCCATCAATGGTCAGTGTTATGTCAGAATGAGACCATTAAGAGAACTTTTATATGAGGGGGAAAAACTTTCTTTTGATAAACAATTTTGAGGGTATTGCCAGTTGGCAATATCCTTTTAAAATAAAATAAACAATACATTTCATTCAAAAGAGAAGTTCAGTGTTACCTCAACAACACTATACCCTGGCAATCTCTGCAGCTTTTCTTCTCCCCATATAACAACAGATATGTCATCCTTCCTTCAATCACACTAAGTAAATGAGAACAACATCCATAAGTCATCCCTCTTTTAGGTGAGAATCTTAACTGCACTCGCTCCACAAGGCTTCATTATTTTCTCTTCATGTCCTCCCTCCAATACATCCTTCAATACCACTGCAGTAATTAAACACATATTTACGCAAGATTTTACTCTTCATGAATAGTCTTCTGTTTCTAAAATGAAACTCTGCAAATCATACCTCCTTCTCCAGCCAATTGAACAGTTCACACAGAGCAACGGCATCCTTAATCTATTATTAAAATAAGAAGAGAGGAAATGATGCTTAAAAGGGGCAGTGGAAGACACACATTTGGCAAAATCCATCAGAATAATCTCACAAATCTGGCTGCAAACATTTAAGGCAAAAATCTATCAAGAGGCAGTAACCATCACTACTGCATATTCTACAGCATATCACAACATTCTCTATCTTACCAGCAGGACATCTCTTACCAGCAGGACGTCTGAGAAACTGTACTAAACCAGGCAAAACCAGGCATAACATTGCGGGGGGGGGGGGGTTGCTTTTGTTTTGTTTGTTTGTTTGTTTTTTGTTTCTTTATTTGCAACCAGCCTTCTGTTCTGGCAACATATTTCATGATTAATCTGGTAAGCTTTTTGTAGCAGTCTCAGAGAGTGCAATTTTTTAAACTGATAAGAAGAAATAAGCATTTTATTTTAGTTTAGTTTATTTAAATTTATACCCCGCCTCATGGCGCAGTGGTTAAAACGCTCCATTGAGCTAAAACTGTGCTCACGACCTGGGGTTCAAATCCCAGGTAGCCGGCTCAAGGTTGACTCAGCCTTCTATCCTTCCGAGGTCGGTAAAATGAGTACCCAGCTTGCTGGGGGGGCAATGTGTAGCCTGTATAATTAAATTGTAAACTGCCCGGAGAGTGCTTGTAGTGATATGGGGCGGTATATAAGTCCAAAAAAAAAATAATTAGTGAGCCTGCCACTACTCTAGGCGGCTTACAAAATATTATAAAACATACAGCTAAATACGGCAAAAGAAATGTCATCTGGCAAAATGAAACCTTGCTTGGGTGAAGGGGTCAGAGAATAAACTTTAAAAGCCAGGTACAATTCATCCTCTGCAGCTGTTCTACCAGACAACAGTTACTTTACTAAGCTCAGCAGATCACTTACATGAGCTCTTCTCATGCCTTCAGCCTCTGATGCATTCTTCACAGCTTTGGCAATGCAGATAGGGGTGTAGGGGGAGAGGTAACGGTGATCCTGAGGCAGAACACAAACACATGTATATATGACATAGAAGCACAACCAAATGTTTTGGTTTGTATGGCCACTATACTATAAGCTAGTTAGTGGCATTTCCAGACCTGTCTTTGAAGCCACCATGATCACAGCCTCCAGGTTCCTTGTAAGGAACATGCTCCTACCCTTCTCCTAACCTGTTTATACAGCCCTTTTTGCCTCCTTTTCTGGTTCTTTCCCCAAATCCCCAAAGCACTTCTAAAGCTTCAGGAGAAGACACCTTCAAGGCTTCACTTAACATCTTGACAAAAATGAGTCATGTCTGGAAGGTTTGTGATTCAGTGTCAGCCATCTTGGGAACCGATAACATAATGTCTCAAATAGCAATAAGTATGCTTCCAAAAACATAAAATAAAATTCTGGACTGTCTCAGATCAGTGTCATGTTCAATATTTGGAATCATCTGTCATCCAAATGCATATGGGTATGTTGCTAATGTTGAGAAAGCAAGAGGAGATTTACCTTTAAATCATATCCTCAGAATCATAGAATACTTAAGTTGGAAGGGTCCTATAAGGCCATCAAGTCCAACTCTCTGCTAAATGGAGGAATATAAATAAAAGGATATCTGTCAGATGGTTGTCTAAATTTATCTTGAATGCCTCCAGTGTTGGAGCACTCATAACCTCTCAAGGCAATTGTTTCCATTGTCATACTGATCTAACAGGAAGTTTTTCCTCATATTCAACTAAAATCTAGTTTCCTGTAACTTCAGCCCATTATCACATGTCCTGCACTCTGGAATGCCTCTCCTCTGTATGAAAACCTTTAAATAATCTGAAGAATGCTATCATATCTCCCCTCAGTATAGCTAAACATGTCCAGTTCTTTCATTCTTTCCTCACAGGGCTTGGTTTCTAGTCCTCTCATCATCCTTGTTGCCTCCCTCTAAACTTGTTCATATTGTATCCTTTTAAAGTGCAGTGTCCTGAACTACACACAGTTCTAAAGATGAGACCCAGCCAGTGCTGAACAGGAAGAAACTGGTACTTCACATGACTTGGAAACTATATTTCTGTTAATGCAGCCTAAAATAGCATTTGCCTTTTTCGCAGCTGCATCACACTGTTGGCCCATATTCAGTGTATACAATTCCAAGATCCTCCGATGGGAATTGTACTCCAACATTATCCCATGGGACTCAGAAAGGCTACTTTAGCTGATGTAGAAACAGTAATTTTAAAATACAGGCCAGAATTCTTTTTGTTTTTTACGTAAGGGTTGTAAAACTTGCCACAGCTAACTGCAGCAGCTCAGGGCACATCTCAGTCATGTGCATGGTAACACCACTACAATTCTTGCCATGAAGAACAGAAGCAGCATTTCCATCCCACTCAAAAAAGTATCTTTATGGGACAGCAATACATTTCAAGGTCTATTGTGCTTGTAGTTGCAAATACACAATCCCTACAAAATTCTCAAAGGGGCTGCTGTGCTTCTTTCCCCTCCAAAGTGTGAGAATGAAGTCACTTTATTTCTCTGCACCATAAAACTTCCAAACCATAAGAGGTTTATGTTGGAAAGGTCAATAAGCTCATGTTCTTGCCTTCTTTTAATCTGACAACCTTTTGGATAAATTCTTTTAATGAGTTAGCCATTTCCTCTCACCACAGCAGTCATAAACAACCCATAGAGAGCTTAGTGTGGGTCTCCAGCAGAGGGTAAGTCCTGCACACCACCACACAGAAGGAAACTTGAAAGCCTCCAGACCAAGTGGAAATGCTTCCAGCCAGAACTGAGCCAGGAAAAGTCCACTGCCCTGCCAGAGCATACAAACCTTGGGGATGGCCTGAGTCAGGGCAAAGCTGGCTTTGTCACTAAGCCAAACTTTCTCATGAGGAGACAGGCTGTCACAGATGGATTTCAGAACCATCAGGATGGAGTCATACGGCAGTATTTGGATGCTAGACTCAGCATCCTGAGAGATATCCAGCAAAAGATGCTCTCTCACAGCTGGGTCTGCCATGCGGTCACCATCAATAAACAACCTGGAGGGATAACAACATCAACAAAGAAAGCAGAGATGAGACGTCTATCGTTTTCAAAAGTTCTGCTTAATGAAGAGTGGGGATAATCTCAACAGTGCTCTTCAGAGTTGCAACACAATGGCAGGAACTTTGTACCAAGGCTTTCTTATAAACAAAAAAGCAGGCTGAATTCAGCAGTGGTGGTGTGACACCCCCATTAGATACAACTTGTTCTGTCACATCTTACAAGGTCTCACAACAACGGGACCAAATGCAGTGGGGTGCCACTACTTTTTCTAAGGCTGTAAGTCTGATCAGCTCAAGCTCCTCTCGTATTTAAGTGGAGCTATGCAAAAATTTCATTCCGTGTACAATTTGAAGGCAAACTGACCTGATCCAGATTTGCCCTTTTAGTCTGAAGATCTGAACACCATCTTTTCATATTTACAATTCTATTTCACAATGCAGTTCTCATTTCACAATGAACCAAATTATATTCAGAAATGCTGAAAAAACATATACATTGTGTCTCTCTGAATACACTCGACCTCACCTTAATTCAAAATTTAAACAAGGTCAATTAGTGATTAGTGCTTGGGTGGAAGACACCTAAGAGCCACTGTGGTGTCGCAAACAAGTATCTCTCTGCTTAAGATCTGGAGTCAGGAGACCCGAGTTCAAATCTCTTAGGGTCTTGATGGAAAAAAAGGCAACAAGAGAATGCCAGGGCTCTCCAGATAAAGCTAAGAAGGAATCCTGCCTCTAAACCTGGACAGCTGCTGCCATCCAGAGTTGACAATAATGGGCTACACAGGCTGAAAGTCTCACTTTGTAGAAGGCAACTTCCTGGGTTCCTATATTTTGTACCAAATTTCATTCCAAATATTTAAACACAAATTTTAATGGGTGTTTTGCTTTTACAATTTCAGATGACAAAAGCAATGGCATAGGACAAACTCATAAAACAATTCATACATTGCTAATGCAGACCACAAATAGAGTGACTGGTCTAGTCTTAGTTACTAATGTTACTTAGTTACTTGGTTACTAATGTAACCATTAGTGAACATTGATAATGGCAGATTATTGCAAAAGAAGTGGGTGAGAAGGACAACAAACACGAGTAAAAATTCCAAACTCTTATATGAGTAAAAAAGAGGTTTCCCTAAGGTTTTGCAGCCTTATATTATCCTCATTTCTTTAAACTACAGTTTGGTGCATTTATTATATAGCTGCACTGCTAGCAGAACAAAGTCTGTAGCATATTTTATAAATGTTAGTGGGCATTTTTGTTTGTTTGTTTTTACAGAAATATAAATAAAGGATATTTTTGCAAAGCTTGAAACATTTTTCCTCTTCAAATTAAAAAACATTACATCTACTGCTAACTACAGCAGGCTGGTATGAGTAGAGGTTATCACTGAAAATAAATGAACTGTTGGATAGCTCAGTGGCTTAGGCATCTGGCTGTGCAGCCAGAGGTTGGGAGTTCAGTTCCCCACCGTGCCTCCTTGACAAAGGCTGGACTTAATGATCCAACAGTCCATTCCAGCTCTGCCAGTTGTAAGATGATGATGATGATGATGATGATGATAAATCAAGGTCTTTTTTTTTTTTAAAAAAAAGAGAGAAATAAACATGCATGCCCTAGTCTAACTGCAGTTAAAATATATCCCACAATTTTGAATATCAGCTTCTGGAAGGAAAATATTATATACATTAAACATTAGATCAAATATTAGAGAAACCAATGAGAAAGGCACCATACACATTACCTGATTGCATTTGTCCCTATGATGGCATAAGCAAAAAACACAGGGTTGTAGTCAACATCAGAGCCTCTGAGATTAAAGAGCCCTAGAACAAAATGGAGAAGCCAGTGTTATAACCCTGGTTAAAACTCAACATAACTTTAAAAAAAAAAAAAAGGAAAAAAACCTCTCTTCAGTCAGAAGTAAACCAAATTGGCCCTTGGTGTCCCTTTCCAGTTCTATTGTCGTAGTTATTTCTTTCTAAGTTTTGCTGCCTAACTGAGTAGTAAAGGTGATTTACCATAAGATGGCACTACAAGCCTGTACCACACAATACACATGACCTACAAGTAACAATAGCAACCACCATTGCAAACGAAAAGCATTGCTGGCCTCTTAAAGACAAACAGATTGATGTCGGTGTCAGTTTTCAGGGATTACAGCCCACTTCCTCATCCACATGTAGTGAAATATTTAGCCAAAGGCTTACATTTAAATGTGCATTCTGGAGGGGGAGATCCATTGAAAACGGATACAGGCACGGAAAATGAAATGTAGCCTTAACACCAATAATGAGCACTGAGAATGTAAATAACATAAACATAATGACATTAGCTAGAGTTGTTAATTGTCTGGTTCTCTCTGTAGTGCAAAAATGTAGAACGAAGGGATTAGCTTGTACTTTTCTAAATGATTTTCTGATTCTTTGGCCAAAATCATTAACTTTCCCTACAGAAAGATTATAGGAAAGACTTTTTATGAATACATATAGTGGGTCAAGAATCCTTGGTCTCTATTTCCCACTGTGAAACTGACATAGGATGTTTACCTCAGCTGTCTTTCTTGCTAATTAGCCCCCTTTTTTAATACAACGGTCAGTTTTGAATTGCCAACAAGACTACCCTGGGAGGTTGATGTGTTCTAAAATTGGCCGTTATATGCCTGATGCCAGCTTTGTGCCCTTTTGGAGAAGGTCCCATTTGCCTATGTAAAATGCATAGTGGCACTGCTGGCAAAGGGTGGCACAGATCACATCTGCAGGAGAAAAAGTGCCCAAGCCCCTACTGTTATTAGAGTCAGCAATGGTGCTGCCATATGGAGACACAGATAGTATCTGAGTTTCCAGCAGGGTCTTATCCATGTTGTGTGGCTCATTGTGTGTTAGTACCTGTTTAAGCCTGTCTATAAGTGGGTACAGGCCAGTGGGTACAGGGAGATGCAATAGTGTCCTGTCGTATTTTTTTTTCTTTGGGGTCCATATTATAATAAGTTGCTTCTGAGAAACTATCTTGATCTTTCAAGTTGTTTCTTTACCTCATTGAGTGAATATTATGGCTTTGAAAATTCCAGAAACAACATTTCCGCCTTGAGGATCCAAGCAGATAAAATTATGTTGGAAGTCCTGGCTATAGACAATGGATTTTGCAGTGTGTGGAGAGTGGAAGGTGGAGGAATTTAAGCAAATATAATAAACAAACAAAAATTACAAAAGAAGACTGGAGTCTGAGGTAGTCAGCTACCGACGCCGTGCACTTGGCGAATACTCTTGGAGCTGTTTCAATGCCAAATGGGAGTCTTTTGAATTTGTATGCTTGTGATCCCAAACAGCTCAACACCATTCCATATTCGATGGCCTCGGGTCACCCACCAGTCCCTAACCTGGATTGTCGGGCGATGGAATAACCGAAGGATTGCTGGAAAGAATGGAAGGTTGTGGAATGGGAGGAGAGGACGTCAGTTGGTTGGCTCTATTATCCCATTCTGGAGACTGAGTTGATAAGACGGAAGTCTGTCATCATCTGAGGGAGATATGACCAAAATTGATTCAGAGAATTATGGAAGTGGAATGTCTGTAGGCTTAGACTGTTTAGCTCATTTAGGATGAACAGGCGCTGGAGCTGGAGCAGAGGTTTAGAGGTTGTTTTTGAAGTTGAGGACTTTGGTATGGACAGTTTCAATGTGTGTGTCTTCGAGGTCTTAGACGATGCAGATGGAGAATCAGAATAAATTGGTGTAGCCGATGGACGTTGTTTCGATGATTCAGTAACGGCTTTTTCCATTGCTTTGGTTTAGGAAGTGGCCCTACAGGGAGGTTGGGCCGTTTGAACTGGTTGTAGGGACTGTTCCCAAAGTCGGAGTTTTAGCCTCGAGAGGCGAGATCGAAGAACTCTGTGCTGAAAATTTTTGCAATGGGTACAGGAAGAAGTTTGATGTTGTTCTCCCAAGCAGAAAAACTACTTAGCACGTATGTTGGAAAGTGAGATGTTGTCACAGACAAGTGCTTAAACGGGCCCAAAGGGGCCATGAATAGGAGAACATAAGTGAGGAGAAAAACCAATGATTGGAAGGGTGTGTGTGTTGTAGCCAGAGGCCAAGAGAGGGGAAAAATCTCTGATGATAAAGAGTTTGATGTTGTAGCCAGAGGCCGAGAGAGGGGAAAAATCTCTGATGATAAAAGAGTTTGATCTAATAGTTTAAAAGAAAAAGACTGATAAAAGGAAGGAATCAAGAGTAGGCTCTCTTTCTCATTTACTCACAGAAGCAGAATTTGAGGCTCTCAACGTGGCGGTTGAAACTGAAAGGGGACGGTTGGCATCAAGGTACTTATACAGGTGGGGAGGGGCATATTCGAATGTGTTTATTGCTACCGCAGAAGCTCTAGAATCTTCTGATAAGGCTCCATGCAGGTGCAAATCAGCCAGGGTGTGATTCACAGAGGCCATGAAGAAGAATCAGGAGTTGCTTCAGGAAAACGACAAGCTACTTCCCTGCGCCTGCTGCATATCTGCACCTCAAAGAGAAGTCAAACACTGAGGTGATGGATCTTACTAGCAATTTATGCTTGACAAAATGAAATCATGTAAAAATCTTGGTGGCAAATTGCCACTCATTAACAAGGTGCCAGTTGCATTCCTGAGCATCCGCCTGATCATACAACTGGATGCACACTCATTATTCCCCTTATGCAAACATAAATCACCAAGAAGATTTTGGCTTGAATGTTCTTGGAAATGCAGAGAACTATACTGGCAAAGTGGCACAAAAGGCGTGCCTAACATGACTGGGAATCATTCATGAGGAAATAAACTCTCCAAGCTTGAGAAGGAAAACAAAATGGAAGGGCTCCTTTCACAGAAACAAGGGAACCAAAGAAAAAAGCAACCGAAAGGGCAAGACACAGCTCCAGGTTCCGAAACCCAGCTTCACATGAAGTTTGGCTCCAGGGTCACTTTATGAATGAAATTTTTCTATGTAAAGATCTACTTCCTTTTCCCAGTTTAGGATACTTTGTAACCTAACAGAGACACTGTGTGCATTCTCTTTTGAAAAAAGAACAAGGGACAGGCAGCTAATAGAGCAAACGGCTTATTTGTACAAGAATTAATCTCCCTCCATGGACAATGAAGAGACAACTCTGAAAGCTGAGCAACAGAAAACAGTGCCCAAGCTTGAATACTAGTTTGTTCTTGCATGACATTTCTTAGAAAGCCATTTTATAACTAAAGAACTGAAGCCAAAAGGAAGTTTAGAAGTAATTACAATGGAATCACAGAATAATGAAGTAGGAAGTGGCCTACAAGGCCATCAAGTCCAGCTCCCTATGGCCTACAAGGCCATCAGGTCCAACTCCCTACTCAATGCAGGAATATAAATCAAAGGTATCTTTCAGGTAGTTGTCTAAATTTCTCTTGAATGCCTCCAGTGCCGGAGCATTCACCACCTCTCAAGATAATTTATTCCACTGTCATACTGCTTTAACAGTTAGGAAGTTTTTCCTGATATTCAACCAAAATCTGGCTTCCTTTAACTTGAGCCCATTGTTGCGTCTCCTGCACTCTGGGATGATCAAGAACAGGTCCTGTCCTTTCTCAGTATGATAACCTTTCAAATATTCGAAAAGTGCTATCATATCACCCCTCGGTCTTCTTTTCTCATGGCTTAACATGCCCAATTCTTTCAGTCTTTCCTCATAGGGCTTTGTTTCCAGCCCCCTTATCATCTTTGTTGGCCTCCTCTGAACTTGTTTCAATTTGTCAGCATCCTTCTTGAAGTGTAGTTCCCAGAACGAGACACAATACTCAAGATGAGGCCTAACCAGTGCCAAATAGGGGGAACTAGTACCTTGTGCGATTTGGAGACTATACTTCCGTTAATGCAGCCCAAAACAGCACTTGTATCCACACCACACATATTCAACTTGTGTTCTACAATGACTCCAAGATCCTTCTCACTAGTAGCGATGCTTAGCCAGGTATCACCCATCTTCTAACTATGTTTGGTTTCTTTTTCCTAGGTGCAGTACTTTGCACATGACCCTGTTAAATTTCATTCTGTTCTTTTCAGCCCAGCACTTAAGCCTATCCAGATCATTTTGGATTTTGTTTGTCTTCTGCAAATTGGACTAGTATTTCCTGCACCCCCTGATCCAGGTCATTAATAAAAAAAATGTTGAAGAGCACAGGGCCAAAGACTGAGCCCTGGGGCACCCCACTTGTTACCTCCTCCCAGTTTGAGAAGGAGCCATCAATCATCATCCTCTGAGTATGATTCTGTAGCCAACAGTATATCCACTTGACAGTTGTTCTATCCAGCCCACACCTATTTAGCTTGCTAATCAGAATATCATGGAGCACTTTGTCAAAAGCTTTGCTGAAACCAATATGTCTACAGCATTCCCTCTGTCTATCAGGGCAGTTACCGATGAAAACATAAGATTGGATTAGTCTGACAGGATTTCTTCTTGACAAATGTTGGTTTCTAATTATTAACTAAGTGCCTGCATAGTGTCTGCTTAATAATCTGTTCCAAAAATTTCGCTGGGATTGATGTCAATAGCTATGTGATGATGACTGCAACTTAATAAGCAATAATTTTACTCCTTTTGTGATGTAACTAATTTCTGGTTGCTGTAACAGTTCTGGAGAACCACTGGGAACTGTACTTCTTTGGCCAGAATCCTATTAGTTATGCCCACTGGTATAACTCCATTGGTGTACATTACAGCTGTGAGTTGCTACAAGGTAAGAAACAGACATAGGCACCGAGTGCTACACTCCAGCTGCATGACTTTCCAAGCTGTGACAACCAGCTAAAGCCACCAAAGGAGGCCACTGCTGAATAAGTAACCTCCAGATCAGATACATCACAGTCTCCACTGGGCCTTCCATCTCACCTCACATGGCTCTTCTTATGTCTTTGTATTCTCACAACCTCACACCTTAATAGACCTCTGGGCAGGCTGTTCCTCATTTCCAGTTGTACAAATACCACTGACAGAACATATACGTACCAAAGGAATCCAGACTGAAAGCAATACTCACAAGCCACTTCATCCAAAGCTGTCACCACAAACCAAACAGCTTTCCTCTCAGCCATTTTCCCCCGCAGGGCTGTGATTTTTTCTTTCCAGCTGATCCCTGCAGTATGCAATGAAAACTAGAGCTCAGTCCAGCTCAGTACTCTGGAGTGAAATATAACAAAACTTTTATCTCAACAGACAGCGGCATTTGCTTTGATTTAGCATACGGCACTCAAAAGTACCTAAGCAAAGAACTGTGCAAAGTCTGGTGTCCAAAATTTTAATACCGCTACAATACGAAGGGAGTATGTGAGCTCAATAGTCTTACGCTCTAGCAACAACATCATTTTCTTTCCTACACCTGAATAGGGACCCTGCTGAGATTGACATTTCATCATCAACAGTATTCTGAAAGCTATGGCTGACATCTGGCTAACCTGTGTAGTTCAGGCCCAGTGTCATCAGGGCTTTGCAAGGCCGTGGGGGTCGATCTGTCCATATGGCATCAATCAGATTGTCCTTGACAGGCACAAGGGCATGGCCAGCACTTTTCAGAACTTTGGCCATCCTCTTCCACTGATCTGAAAAAGAAGGGGGAAATGCCATAAGCCAATGAAAGCAGGCTATTGATGAAAATCCTAAAATGCTACCTAGCCCTGAGATCTGAAATTGGCAAAAATACATCAATCCCCAGCCTGTGTCCCTTGAAATGTTCTGAACTTCAATTCCCATCAATCCCCAGCCAACACAACCAATGGGCAGGGGAGTTGGGGACTTGGACTCCACAAGTTCTATTAGGAGATAGGTTGGAGAAAATCAGTATAATTAAAAAAGAAAAAGACTATGGTAGTAATAGTAAGATAGCGTGTAATGTGCTAAGTGTAGCCACGACCATGGAAAGAAAGACCAAAATCAGAACACGATCTTCTACCAGCATTTTCCAGTAACTGGTATTCAGAGCCATAGAGCCTTTGATACGGCAGATAACATATACCTTTCATGAACTTTAGCAATATCCTCCATAAATGCAGTTTAATCCCCTTTAAAAGCTGATCAAGCTGGTGGCAAACATTGCATCATGAAGTATGAAATACTACAGTTTAAAATGTCTGTAATTGGGTTCAGCAGAATTCACTGGCAATTAAGTCCCACTGCGGAAAAGACCGCAGGGATCCTTCACAATTATTACAGCTTTCAATTCTAAGAGAACTATGTGTGGGATCTCTTATTCTTTTGTGGAAGGAGGAACTGGAGAGGAACTAGAAGTTTTTGCTTACAAATTATAATAAGATTGTACAGAGGAAAAGAGCAGTGAAAAATGTTGTGTTAAGACATGTTATTCAGATCTGGAGAAAACAATGAATGCAAACTTCCTCTGTCTCCACTACAAAAAGCCACATACCTGGTGGATCCAATGACCCCTGAAATAGGCTAAAACCATTGATTCGCCTCCTTCTTGGGAGGGCAGACAGAGCACCCTATCTCCAGAAAGGAGTTCATTGCTATGAATCATAAAATCTATACTCTTCATGAGAGCTATTGGGATAGCTTGTGGAGGTGTGTGATTTTAAAGACATGCTTCACTACGATTATGCCACTCGTAAGAATCAGTGTGGCATAATCATAGGAGTGCCAGACTGGGACTTTGGAGAGTTAGGTTAATGCCCCTTTCCCCGGCATGGAAATCACAGGGGTGCTTTGTGCCAATTACTCTCTCTCAGCTTTCCCTGCTTCACAGGGCTGTTTTTTTAAGTGAAATTGTGATATGACAATGTTACATATATTTGATGGTTTTAAGCAATCAACCAATAAAGTAAAGTAAAGCACAAAGGAAGAAAACCATGTACAGCCGAGACCCACTTTTAAAAGTAGAATTCTCACTGTAGGAAAGTTAGGATACAGATGGAACTAACAGAATGAATGAATGAATGAATGAATGAATGAATGAATGAATGAAAAAGAATGTTCATCTTTTTTTTTACCCTTACCATGGTAGGCACAGAAAGTACCATCAAAAGTTGATAGGGCAGACATTTGAATGCGTCGTCGCTACCACGGGGGCATGCGATCGGCCCAAGGTTATCTAGAGTTCACCAAAGCGGCCAGGGCGAGCCTGGGTTGGTTTTGGTAGTATTCCGGCGACCGGCCTGCTTTGAATACTCTAATTTTTTCAAAGTTTTTACCCTACCTAATTGCAAAAGTATAGATTATGTACTCTTTGGCTCCCTTCCCTCATTTAATCTCCTCCTACATAACCTATCCTCTTACCACCTTGGGCAAGAAATAGCTTAGGGGCAATCCACATATATTACAATTTTGACTGTGGCGAATGAAAAGCAAGTCTAAGCAAATTTAGATAACCTGTGTAAGACACTTATATTGAGGAATTACATTCTCAGACTGCAGGATTTACATATTGTGACAATTCAAAATTCAGCAAAGCCTGGGTTGGATCCAGTGCATCTCATACCTATTTATGTAGATAAATTACTTCTTCGTTAAGTAAAATACAAGGTTATGGCTGAAACTGGTTGAAATTAGATCTCATAGAAAGTGATCAGAGCAGTTGGACAGGACTTCTTTGAAACTTGAACCTGCTGATTTTATTCAGAACTAACCTGCCTGTGGCGTTCACCTTTATTATGCTGCACAGATTATGTATTATTCATGTTCTATGCTGATGTGGTTGAGAGGTGGAGCCACCAGAGAAGTTAAAAAGGCGGAGCCTGGGAGGAGAAGGGTAGAATTCAGCCCGAGTTAGAGAGAGAGAGAAAGAGAGTTTGGGAATCTGAGGAGTGATTAGTCTGACGAGTGAAATATTAACCTGTAAGATAATATAGAACATGGTTATTGATGCTTATTGAACCTGAAGTAAATACTTATGAATTATTATAGAAACGTCTGTAATCAATAAACCTGTTTTATTCAAAAAGCAGTGATGAATGGACCTTTGTCTTTCCTAAGCAAAGTACGTTGATAAAGAAATCAACTGGTGGCAGCGTGTGAAAAAATGTTTTTGGGGGTTTGTCTACGTTGGCTCTCTGTTTTGGGGAGACAAACAGGGGCCACAAGGGGCAAACGTCACACTGCCCTTCGTCAAAGCTCCTATATGTATCTCCCAGAAGTTAAGTGATGGCGACATGCAGTCCAAACAAAGCTAGTCATTCACACAAAAGGGTACGGGGGAAACTAACCTGCCGGAATAATGAATGGATCTACTCCAACTCTGGAACCTTCAGGGAGCACACTCACAAGCCAATCCTCCTGTGTGGGTGTATCCTTCAGACCTAAAAGAAAGAAAAAATAAATACAGAAGAAACTGAAGAAAGAAACCAAACCAGAAAAAAGCCTGCAGTACCATGGATGGAATACATTACCATGTTTTTAGGGAGAAATAAACCACACACACATCCCTAGAAGAGATCCTCCAAAAAATTACGACACATCACCAGAGTATACAAATGTTATTCTGGACTACAGCTTCCAGCATCCGCAGCCAACTTGGCTTTGCTGGATGAAGGATTCTGGGTGTAGATGTAAAAGAAAGGGGGAGTGGCTTTTTCAAGGCTCTGTTCTTTACTGATCTGGCCTTTCGCGATCACAAAAGGCCTACGGATCTGTTCCAACAACTACAAAATCAAATGTGATTTACAGTCTCTTTCCCTTGCTTCTGAAAGCTTTCCAGATTTCCAGCAAAATTCACAACCTAGTAAAATCAGTGGTATAATACAATGCAGACCTAACAGTCCCACTCCAAGCAATTCTATCTGCTCCCTACCATTTTGCCTTTAGAAAGGAATAGGAGGGACTAGATTCTGCAACATATAGAACTGACTTATTTTGAGTCAAATTAGTGGCCCAGATGGACCAATGTTATCAAATCTAACACAGACTCTTCAAGGTCTTTGCCAATTTTGTTAGCTGATAGCCTTGAATAAGGGAGCCTCTGCCTTCATTGGATGTGCCTCACCAGTTAAGGATAATTACTGCTATCTTCAAGAGTAAAAGTATATGGGAATCAGTTGCCAAGAGCCCCCTTCCCTGCCTGCCTCCATCAATTCCAATAAAAGCTGGGGGAGATTATAATCAAGTTAGCACATTACTCTTCCCTTTTGCTTTCACTCTCTTTTGGGCAAGGAGATACTAGTGATCTCCTTGTTGCTATTGCAAATAATAGGCACAAGTTACCAACACCCTCTAGTAATTTGGTAATTCACAACAGTCGTATCTTCTGCATTTCACGCCTCACTTTTCACATCCCCAACCAACTCTTGCACATATATTTACTCTGACAGAAATGATGATTCTGTGCAATTTCTGAAGCCAGAATTATGCTAATATAGTACATTTTTTCAAGAATGTATCAAATCTGGGCTTCCTGCCAGCCCAATATGGTTTGCTTTATTGTAACACTTGGAACACTCAGTGTTCAATTCACTAGACCTCAGATACACACTACGATCAAGTCAGATCTTCTCTAGCCCAGTAAAAATTAGCTTAGTTTTGGAAAAAAAGTAGTATAGTGGAAAGCCAGGGAACATCTATAACACATATCAATCAGTAAAGCTATTTTCAGGTGAACATTGTTAAATGTTTCTACAGTGTCACTGTACAAGAAAGGAAGGCATGACTTATAGTTGTATCATTCAGAGATGGGGTCTGTTAAGAAATGGGTGCTTAACATATAGTTTATCAGATATTCTCAAACTGCAGTTCCCATCAACCCCAGCCAGCAAAACCACTGGTCAAGAATAATGGGAGCTGAAGTCCAACGATATCTTAAGGGCCACAGACTGCCCACCCCTGGAGTATATAATACATTACATTCCACAGAAGGATCTGTGGAGGCACACTGAAGATTATTATTTGTTTTGATTCCTACAGGCAAATAAATATGTTCCCTATGGCAGGCAAAAGCATGCTGGGAAAGGAAAAAGCAGGGTCTTATCCCTGGAACACTCATAAGAATGAACAGTGCAAATCCCCTTTCAAAAACAATATACTCCGTGTTACAACAAAAGTGAGAGCAGGTTCATGAGTTAAGAAGCAGGAGCACTTGACTACACAACTGTAAGGACGAGATGAAGTAAAGCACTCCTTGGGACTCATACACACCCATCTTCATGAGTGTCCAGTTATTATCCATTTGCTGGGCAGCCTGCAGAAAGTAGCGTCCATCTGTCCACATGGCTGCCTCTTGCTCTGTAATAATGGCAGTTCCTGTCAGGGACCACAAAAGAGAAAAAGGGTAGGATCACATACAATATCCATAAATAGTCAATGCGGTCACTGTCATAAATGTAAGGGGGGAACAATCAATCAGATGGGAATTGGTTCATTTCAAAATACCTCAAAGCCAGTTCACTTGAGACCACCTCTGGCAATGTATATGGAGGACAAAGTATTAGGCCTATTCAGGTTTTCAGATAAATGAAATAAATTCACAAGGAGGAACAACCTGCTAGCTCCATGTTCTCCCTCTTCATTTCCATCCCCCTCCAGGCACAGAGGGTGACATTCCAAACTGGAAAGTATAATTTTCCAAATTCACATGGAGAGCCTTATGGAAACAGGATGCTCCCCTCTTCAGATTTGTTGCCCTTCGCATTCAGAGGATGACAGAAAGGGGCCTGTTTATGCAACCTACTTAAATAATGACTAAATAGAGCTTTCCTCTTTTTGGGCTGTAAGTTACTAATCATTACCTACTGAGAAGAGGGGAAATGTTGTAGCTCTAATACAAGTTGCTTGCAAACCTCTGCTTGAAACTGCTCCCTTCATTTGAGACAACACTTTTATAATGTGCTGTCTCTAGTTATTATTTACATTTTCCATGCTTTGTATACCATCCGGAAACCTTTTGTTACTGTTGGTTCACAATCTAAACAAATAAATAATATCAAGATTTTCTTTTTACTTTTTTTTAAAAAAATGAAAACTCTAATAAAATTTTAAAATCAATCATTTCTTAATTAATACTGGCTACTAGAAAAGAAAAAAGCTGAGCCTATGGAAAAGTCTATATCGTAGAACTGAATGATTATAGACAAGAACATTATACGCAGACTGGAAAGCAAAGGCTCTGATGAAAAAGATCCAAGACGGTCATGGAAGAACGAAATACAACAAGAGGCAGCAACATGATTCGCTACAAAACAAAGGCAAATGCCATTTGGGGACATCATGGCACACACTTAACAATTAGTACAGGGGAACAAACGGAACAACTTTGCTCTTTGCAGTTAGGCCTTGAACAGAGCATTGCATTCATGGTTTCGGTGCATGCACCTGGACTTGGGGCTTGCTAACCCCAGCTCTACAGTAAGAGGCAAACAGGCCTCTCCAGAACAGGAAAACTCCTCCACAATGTTTGCACTGGATGTTAATCGGTGGAACAGCTTGAAAGAAAACCTAGATCTCATCACTTTAATGCTTGAAGCCACAGGACATGTTGCTGCTAAATGAAACACATTGTTCCCCTAAAAGATAAACATGGGTTTCCACCACCTGCTTTCTTCATGAATGGAATTTAAATTCTTAACAAATTTCAGATGCAAAAAATAACCTATATTTTTAAAAGGAGATTGAACTTGGGAAAACAGTGTTGTTTACTGCTAATCCCTGATCGGATGAACTGCAAGCTATCTGTTTTGTTTGGCTTCACACAGGGAGAAAGAAAGGAAAGCTGCAATTCCTGTACCAAATAGTTACTTCACTGGAGGGTCATCTGGGGGTCGACAAAAAGTCATTACTATAACTGGTATTACATCATCACTCCAGCTGGTGTGGAAGCTGGAAAGGGAAAGGGCAACTCAGCCCTTCCTTTTATTCCCAGTCCTTTCCTAGAAGAAAAGCTAATTCACCCTCTCTCACATAAACACTCATATACATGTACAATGGAACATGGCAAAATTTATTAGCCATGGTACTATGCAATTCAGGACACAGCAGCTATTACAATATATAGAAGAGGCTAAATCCAACATTAGTTTATAAGAAGAGGCCCAGTGAATATAATATGACTTGCATTTACTTGCCGCTAACAAATCCCATTCATTTCAAAAGGTCTACTCAAAGAAGGACTAACACTGGACTTGCTCCAAGTGTTGTATCAAGGGTGGCAGAGATAGCTAGAGAGGCAAGTCTCCGAAGGTGCCTGAGCTGTGGCACAGCTTGGAAAAACTGCTTTGTTGGGTGATAATTCCCAGAACCCCTCTGCTTATGCTGACCACTGGCCATACTGGTTGGAGGATTTCTGGAGTTGTCATCTCCAAATGTTTTCCAAACTGTTTCCTCATCTGGTTTCTGCATATGCAAACACAGTCCCATAGAAGAGACAGCCCCCCACTCCCTGCCCCACAAAATCAGAAAATGTGGCAAGGCAGTCGTATGGAGTCTGGATGAAAAAATTAAAAAAAAAACCACACACACAAACAAAGTACAATAGTTCTGCAACTCTCCAACGATATGGTGGCTGAAGGGGAAATTCAAGTGGTAGGCTCCAATCCTTCAAAGAGGGGCTTGGCATTCAAAGCTTAAGACGTTGCAAATGGTAGGGGTCAGTTACAGGTCTCAAAACATACCTGCAGAGCCATCAAATCCACAGATGAACTCTCTGCGACAGTCACAAGGTGCGATATACTCACTCTAAGGGAAGTGCAGTAAAAAAGGAAATGTGAGCATGATGGTGAATAGCAGCAGAGACACAACAAAAGCAGTGATAAGTATAAACTGAGATTAGTTTGGCTTTCCTACTGGACTATTAGGGGACTGTTCTGGATTAGTTTGGAAAACAAATGTTAAAATACTGAAATGTTCTTTATCAAGCGGTTTTAATGTAATCAATTAAAATTGTCCTTCACTTAAACCTGTAGGATTACTTCTCATGAGTTTATTTCAGTCTACAGCACTTTTCCTCTAAGCAAATATCCCCAAGTACTCCAGTTTATTACCCTTTTGGTCAGGCTGCTGGCCGAAGAAACAAGCTGTGCCTTTGATGTGGCTAGGGGAGTGCAGAAGAAACTCTCCAGTTATCTTCCGATCTCCCAAGCTGTAAAATGGTGCTTTAGACTTGCAATCTCTGCTTCGTTTACTGACATCCTCTAACTGGATTTTACAAGAAGTACTTGGAAAAAACATTCACTCCCCTTTCCCATTGTGAATTTCAGTCACTGAATGATCTGTTCCAGTAATGACCTTTTTTAAAACACTGTGTAGGCAAGGAGACATAGCAATCACCATTGCGTCAAACCCACTGTGAAATTGAAAATTTAATTTCCTAGGTCGACATCTACTATTCTGAAAGAGGTAACCATATCAGTCTGTTTCAGGAACAAAAGAGTTGTGACATCTGAAAAGCTAATAGATTTATTTCAGTGTGAGTTTTCATAGACTACAGTCCACATCCTCAGAAAAACCACTACCATGTTTCTGAACACAAAGCAGCCACCCACAAAAGATCATGGTGAAGTAAACATTTGAGTCTTTAAGATGCCACAACATGTCAGTTTTTATTTTTGCTACACCTACTATTTTTATTTTTATTTGTACTAAAAGAAAGAAATTTGATCACACAGATTCAGTGCAAACATAAAGCCATATAAAAGAAAAGCGGACAACTTCTATAGTTCCAGAAGACATTACCTCAACAGGCTGCATTAACTTCTGTGTTCTGCCCAGACCAAAAGCATTTTGGAGGGTTATTGTTGTGTTTTTAAATTTATAACACTGCCTCATCCCCACTAGTGGATAATATTAATTAATCAAAAAATGGAGGAATGTGCCAGGTTAGGGTTCATGGGGAGGGGGGAAAGCTTACCACACTTCCTGGTGGAGACACACTTTTAAAAAAATATTTTAAAACTGGGAATACAGGGACCCTGAAAGGGGCTTGGGAGGTATATTTGGGCTCCTCTGGGCCACATGCAGCAAAACCAGTTGACTTTGTCTACTCCTGCTGTAAACCATGGTTTACAAAGTGTGGGCAGCCTTGGTAATATACGTTTCTTCCTTTTTTCAATGAATGTATTAGTCTTTCCCATAATTCAACATTAGATCTTCATTATAGTTAAAGCTAATCAGGTTCCCTCTGAGCCAACATCAACAAGCCAGCTTCAAACCCTGGTTCAGATGGGAGTACTGGTTAGCACTAATTATGGTTAGCACCAATGTGGATTTAATTTTCAACACATGGTAAAATTAAAAATTCAACAATCCTATAAACAAGTTACACAACCAAAGAAGATATAATATAACCTTTTGCTTACTTTTCATCATAAACTGTTGCTCCTTCTTAAAGAGAAAAAAATAACATAATCTCTACCATGACATGACTTCCTGAAGAAGTGAAGATGTTACCATTAATTTTCACACAAACAGGTCATAAATTTCTCAAGTGGTTGCAAGCACCTTCTTGTTACCTTTTAACACCTTTAACCTCACCACCACTCCTTTGCCAATAGGTAAAGCATTAACCTGAAAGGAAACTTTCTCCCAAAACTTCAGCCACGTATTCTGGGGTTTATCCTTTTATTCTGCCCCTACCAGAGCATCCTTGTCCCAGGTGAATGTTTTCTTATATCCAGTGTTTCATGAAAGGGTTTTTCTATTCTAGTTAATTATAGGTTGCTACATCCAAAGCCATTAAAACCAGAACGGCACCCAACATTAAAAAATTATGACTGCCCAAGGTCACCCAATGAGCTTCATGGCCAAGCGGGTATCTGAGCTCAGTTCTAAGTCTGAAATTGTATTTATTCCACCACTATGGGTCTGACAAAAGCCTTCACAGATATTGCTGGAACTAAAGTTTAAGTCATATAAGTATGTGAAAAAGTTTTACTGTAGTCTTGGTATGTAAGAAAATCTAGTGGATACACAATGAACAGTTATAAGGTCCATTCAACTCTCTGCACACAAATAACCTGAAAAACTCGCTGAGCAAGAAAAGCATAACACAATGTCTTTGCATGACTGCGTTCCCCTGAAGAGACACAAAGACTTAAAGAGTCTCACAGGTCATATTCCAGAATTCACAGGAACATGTTAAAAGCCAAGAAAGTGTAACTAGAGCTGCAGAGAAGCAGCTGCCTCAGGCACTGAAAAAATAAATCTGTATCAGCTACAAAAGAGAAAAGGGGGGGAAACCCCACCTTTCTCACCTCTACCAACTGAGCGTGAAACTAATCTTCATGTGTTGCTAGCATAATGTATAAAACAAAGAATACACTGTACTTGCAAACTAGCGTCCTGTGTTTTTTGCACAGAGATGTTAAGAAAAAATCATGGGTAACTAGACAGGTGGAGTACAAGCAAACAGATGGAAAAGAATTGCTACTCCAATGAGTGCCATTTTACATGGCATAAGTTTGGGGGGTTCTCTTTTCATACATAGACCCTCACAGCCACCACAAGAAATGAGTGGAAACATGGTGGTTACCTCAGTTCTCTGTCATGGGCAATTATAACTTCACATTCTGCATTAGACAACAATGGGCAGAATCCAGTTAACCACTGGTAAGCTATAACATTCCATCAGCATGGCTCCACACAATTTCTATTGAACAGGCTAAGATAATGAAGCTTGCCCACTGAAACCAACAGGCTTCCTCTACTTTTGGCACAAATCCCATGAATGTCATTAGGAATGTGCCATTCAGATATTTTTTTTTCACTGTCTCAGAATTCTCCAGTAATCCCCCAGGCAGATTTTTTGGAGTTCCAAGCCACAAATCCATATCTGCAGAAACATCTGTTTTGCTTACCTGGACTGGGGCCTTGCCTCAGAGGCAGCAGAGCTGTCTCAGACCTACTGCCTCTTGTTAATGCACAAAAATAATAAAAAGGTGCTACACTGTAGTTCTTCAGGACAGCAGGATTACAGCTCTCAGAAAGCACTACGGCAGCTTCCTTTTTTGTACATCAGTAACATGGAATAGACCCAAGACAGTCATGTAGCCTCCAGAAAAGGTCTTGGTCCAGGTGAGTGAAATGGAGGTATCTGTAGGTGTGGGCCTATGGTTTGGAATTCCCAGAATTCTGCCTGTGGAATTCTTGGGAGAATTTTAAGGGAACAGGATCCTAAAAAATCCAAACAGTACATCCCTAAACATCAAACTGCTTGCACAACTGACCACTGCACAAGCAGAACAAACGAATAGACTCTACTTTAAGGCTAACAAGTTTATTTAGCATACACTTTCATAGATTGGAACGTACTTCTTCAGATATGTCTGAAAAATGGGCTAGCATCCATAAAGCCTTATGCCAAAGAAAACTTGCAGAGGTTTCCAAACTTCTCCTTCCAGCTGCACTAAAAAAGAAGAAAGCGTGCTCTGTAACTATACACAATGGTTTATCATTGTGCTTGAATATAGCCATTTGTAAACCTACTTTCACAGCCCTGAAACATTCAAAGCTATTTTATTATTTTATTTTATTCTATTCTATGTCTTGCTTTATTTTATTTTGTTTTACTTGGTTTAATCTTATGAGTGAAAGCTGAGTATCTTACAATGTTGAATTTGGCATTCAAAACCAATTTCTGTGTTTTCATAGTGATCATATATTCACCACACTAAGGATGGTAGCCACATACCACACTGTGTCATTATTGCTGTCATAACATCCTTTTGAAATGCTGAATTTAGAAACATCTAGATTGCAGATGTACCCCCCACCCCAGGTGCAAATCACAAGATCGGCAGCACCACCTCATACTGGTTCCCAGCAAACCCTTCCTTCCACACCACTGAATGCAAAGTGCAAGTGGAAGATGTGTGTACTGCATGATGAACTAACTAGCAGGAACTTGTTAAAAATCAATAGTGTTGAGAGTTAGGGATGATGGGAGTTGATCAGAAGGCCCATCAAATAACTTAAGCAACTCACCAAAAATGCCTATGATTTCTTTGCCATCATTAAGTTTTTACAAATATTGTTTAAACTGTTTAGAACCTTTCCTTTACTTATTCCCTTTCTTCACAGTCCTGTTGTCCTCTTTTCCAGTTCCACTCCCATCTTGGATGTCAATATCTCTCCCACCCCACATTCTGGCACTGCAAATAAACAGTGTACTATGTAATCATGTCACATGAACCACCTGCTTCACCAACATTCAGGAAGTTGTCATCTGGACGTGCCTCTTTATATAAAGCCATTCTTCATTATAACTTGTCCCTTTCGCTTTCTTTCACATTTCTACGTCTACAAAGGAAACCCTGGTGGTTAACAGAAATGTAATCCCTTGCTGTTTTCAAAGGGGCATTCACTGTATCAGCAGAAAAGAATTTCACTAAATCCCATACTTGATGAGCATCTCCTGAAGGCACAATGTAGGCTTGGATTGGCTGTGGAAAGTATTTGGAGCTTCTCATTGACTGCCGAAGCTGCCGCAGTAGCTCTGTAGTCATCTTTGGAGCCATGTTCCTGAACAGAAACAGCAAATAAACAAAAGAAATCTTAGTTACAGTCCTGTGGATTTTGTACCCAAATATTTCAAATTCCAGACAGAAATCCTCCTAAGTACATCCATCAGAATTTGCAAATAAAACCTGTTTTGCCTGACCTATCTCTAGCAGCTATTGCTTAAATTCCCAGAGATGGGAACAAGGCTTGGTAAGGTGCATTTCAGGCCCATCTGCTTTGTCTTTCTCTCAGGCTGCCTTCCATAATAAGTACTTACAGATCTGGTTGTCTGCAATTTTGAATTTTCTGCCAGGGTATGCTGGCGGATGGCGGACCGGAGGAAGCACTGCATAAGGGAAGCACTCGGAGCAACAGATGCTTTGAGGCGTTGGAAAGGAACAACAAGGACATAGGATGGGAAGAAAACAATTCACAACTGCTGCTGCTTTCAGTCACAGGGAACACTCCTGCAGCCAAACGCTGCATCCTGCCTTCCATCCTGCTATATTTCCTTGCCCAGAACAGTTAGGAGGTTTTACAAACTCAGTTCTCTCAACAAAGAATGTTGGGAAAGGGGAAGGTTGTTTGTTTGTTTGAGAAGCTTGGGTCTGGAAATCCTAAAGATAAAGAAAATCCTAAAGCCTGTAGTGCTGCACTAGGACGTAGGAACCTAAGTTCTCATTCAGCAAAGACAGACTCCTTAGGGCCAGTCACTCAGGCTAGCCTATCTCTAAGGGTTACTGTGAAGATAAATTGGGGAAGGGAAGGCCATTGTGTGTGACCTTGAACTGTTTAGAAGAAAGGTGGGAATATAAATATAATAAAAACATACAAATATGAGGCTTGTTTTATTGTACCTAAAACTGAAAGCAGGAGGCGCTGCTGCTGAGAAACAGACTCAAACGGATTATTAGTTTTGGGCCAAGCTATTTGGTTTTTACAAAATGAAAAACAGATGTCAGAATTGTGCAAGTCTGGTTTCACAAAATCCAGTCCATGGGGCAGACATTGTCAACTCTTCCACTTACGCGATTACATTCCTGTGTCAGAGAAACTAAACTTCTAAATCCGAATGAGTAATTCTCCTTGTGGTTTAAAACTGGCAAAGCCTTGGTGGAAGAAGTTAATGAAAGGATGGAAGGGGGTGTTGTTATCTAAGAGAGAACTACTTGTGGCAACTCAAATGTCACAAATCATAGAACTCACAGGAAAACTGCATCAAAGCCTGTTTGAACGGAAACCAATTTTGATGCAACATTTCAATCTTTCAGATATGGAGAGATTTCAGTGGCCCAGAGCACTGTACAAATGCAACGTTTACCTCTAAGCATCAATATTCATCTCAGTTCAGACACGGAAGGCAGGGTGAGACCCACATGCACACTGAGACAACAAGGTACTAGTAGCAATAAACAATCATTTTCCTGGAGCAGCACAGACCACTACTGCATGTGTCTACTTGTTTCTGGGAGTCCTTCCAGTACATTTGATCTAGAAGGTAGTAACCTTTTCTTTATGTGTGTGCCTTACTCCAGAAGCCAATTTCACAAGGCACAGGGGAAGTTCATTACATCGCAATTACAGAGAAACCCTAACTAAGCCCATTCTGCTGTATAGACTTCCAAAAGACAGAGTTCTCAGTATCCAGTTTAGATATTATAGCCTGAATCAGCAGAGAAAATAAATAACAAATGACTGCAATGAAACGTTATTGCTCCTTTTCTATGTACATAAAACAAGGCCATCTGAAAGTATAATTTCTATTTCCTTAAAATAATAGTTTCAAACTTTTCAGACCTGGGAAACCTTTTGCCCAAACATGCATTTTGGAAATATTTTTTAAAACCATATTATGTTCGGAGCATGATTCACTGTAGCTTAAGGTACAACCCAATAATGAACCCATGGTCTGTAGTGGCCATGCTGGCTGAAGGATTCTGGGAAGTGCAGTGCAAACTGTGGTGAGGATCCATCCATTGGCAACCTTGATGGGGCTAATTGGATTAGTGCTCATATGTAGTCCTTCAGGATTACAATCAAGCTCTGGCACTAACTGTGCATCCCCAAGTAACTTCATCACTAGGTCTTACGTCATACTGGAGCATTTGAGTGCCAAAGTGATCAGATGGAAACTGCTATAGAAAATTCTGCCGACACAGCTTCATTACATCACAAATCTATCTCCAGGATTAATTTGGTATTCACAAAGGACGGTGGACTTGCTGTGAGGTACAGCAATTAACATCTAGGGGGGGAGGCACTAGCACATACAAACCCATGCTAGAATTCGCCCTGAATAAGCTGCCATCAAGTCTGGTTCAACACAGTGCAGTAACCAGATCATTTTTTAAATGACCAGGATTCCACTTGAACCTTCAGCTATGACTAGATAAGCACAAGGCCAATGGAAGCAACTGAAGGACACTCAGCTACTGATGGACTTCCCTGCTTGTCATCACACACCATCTACCACAGCTCTTGATCAGATAATGGCTGGAAAAGTCTGGCAGCCCAAGGCCAACAGGGTATATCTTATGCCAACCAGATCTCAGCAAGAGCATATCACACTGCCAATAAATGTGGCTGAAGCACAGTTTTGGGATGGAGGCCTTTGTTTTCTCTTGAATTGAAATCTAAGAATATTTTTCACATTTCAAAACAGCTCTCAAACACAACGTCTTGCTAACACGTAAAGTTAATTTAAATAGATAAATAACACTTTCATAGAGTACAAGTAATAACTAATTTGTTTTATTTATTTATTTATTTATTCATTCATTCATTCATTCGATTTTTCCCCCGCCCCTCTAGACAACGTCTACTCGGGGCAGCTTACATCAGTTAAAACAAGTTGAAAAACATATAAAATGCATTTATACTAATTAGTTCTCAACAAAAGGTTTCCAAGATGGTGGTATAAAAAAAAGAAAGAAAGAAAGAAAGAAAGAAAGAGAAAAGTAAAATGACTTAATTGACTGGGGGGTAGGCCTGTTTAAACAACCAAGTTTTTAATTGGCTTTTGAAAAACCCCAGTAAGGGTGCCAGCCGGATTTCAGTGGGGAGTGTGTTCCACATCCGAGGGGCACCCGCCGAGAAGGCCCAGTTTCTTGTTTTCTCCTTCTGGGCCTCCCTCGGCGTCAGTCCCCTCAGCCGTCCCTGCTGGCTATGTCGGGTGACTCAGGTAGATCTGGGTGGGAGGAGGCGATCTGCCAAATATTGAGGTCCCAAACCGTTTAGGACTTTATATGTAATCATTAATACTTTGAAGTCAATGCGGAAACGAATAGGTAACCAGTGCAGCGCAGCCAGAGTGGGGGAGATGTGCCGATATTTTCTCACCCCACTAATAAGCCTGGCTGCTGCATTCTGGACCATCTGAAGTTTCTGCATGAGCCTCAAAGGCAGCCCCATGTAGAGTGCGTTACAATGGTCTAGTCTCGAGATTACGAGCGCGTGGACTAGAGTAGTGAGGGCCCCCCGATCAAGATATGGCCACAGCTGGGCAATCCGCCATAGATGAAAATAGGCAGAACGGACCACGGACGCCACCTGGGTTTCCATGGTTAGCGCCGGGTCCAGATGTATCCCAAGCTGCGGACCTCACTCTTTGTGGCAAGGGTCGTCCCTCCAAAAGAAAGGGAGTCACCTATGCCGCTGACGGGAGGGCCACCCACCCTCAAGACCTCCGTCTTATCCGGGTTCAGCCTCAATCCATTTGACTGCATCCATTCCAGTACGGTGTCCAGGCAGCGCTGGAGGGACTGGACGGCATCCACTGAAGTTGGAGTAAAAGAGATGTAGAGCTGTGTGTCATCAGCGTACTGGTGACACGATGCCCCACACCCTCTGATAACCCCGCCCAGCGGCGTCATGAATATGTTAAACAGCATTGGGGAGATGATCGACCCCTGTGGAACCCCACAATTGAGACTCCACGGGGCCGAGACATTCTCCCCAATCTGCACTCTCTGGGGGCGGTCCTCCAGGAAGGAGCGGAGCCAGGCAAGTGCCAGGCCACCAACTCCCAACTCGGAGAGCCTCCCCAGGAGGATACCGTGGTCGACGGTATCAAAGGCAGCTGAGATGCCGAGGAGGACCAACAAGGACACATTGCCCCCATCAGCCTCCCTCAACAGGTCATCCAGCAGTGCGACCAGTGCCGTCTCTGTACCACAGTGCGGCCTGAAGCCCGACTGAAATGGGTCTAGAGCACTGGTTTCGTCTAAGAGCGCCTGAAGCTGGTCTGCCACCACCCTCTCAACCACTTTGTTCCAATAAATCTAGAATATTCATTGAATTGCCAAAGAGAATCTGCAGGCACAAAACAAGGAATGCTCTCACCTCCCTACCATACCCGATTCAATTCTGTGAAGCTCAACGTAGGCATCCTTCAGCCTCAAGAGACCATGGTAACGTGTTCTGAGTAGAGTTCTTAGAACAGTATCTAGTGTGGCTGAGAAGGCCAATTTGAGAGTGACAATCCCTTCCACACTGAAGACAAATACAATCTGTCCCCTGTCCGTGAAGCTAATCAAGCCCATAGCATTAGCCTAAGATGGGACAGTAAAGATGACTGCCACTTACTGAATTCAAACGGCTGCCCTCGTGGCATGTCCGCAGTCTGGGCAGGCCTCCCTAAAGGCAAGAGAAATCTGATCTAAGTGGGGAGTTTCTACTTTTCATTGATCACCTGGAAGGGAAGGAGGATTCTTGCTGTACATGTTTTCCATCACATGCTGCAGCCTCCTTGTTACTCTTTCAAAACAGAATGTCTTAAAGCTTTCTGCCCTCTGTAATCTCATCCACTATAAAAGGGAGGTGAGAGAGACTGGGACTAAGCTCATTTGGGAACTGCCATCTCAGGGTGCCTACAACACCTTGAGGCTTATTTTGCTCCTACCCTCTCCAGCCTTGCATGGCCAGTGGCAAGAGGAACCAGCTTCAATGGAGCCACCACCTCAGAGTACCAAAAGTGTCTTGAAACTGCACTTTCTGGAGGCTCCTCTTCTTCTTCGCCTTCT